GAACAATCTACACCTTACATATGCATTCAAATTTTATGATCATTGTACTTGTATACTTGTTACAGGACTGCTTACTCATAGTATAAATTCTAATGGAGTAATCAAAATATGTTATTTTCAATTTTCATTTGGTATTTGCTGGTCTTACAGTTGTAAGGTCATTTTATGAGGAGACATTGACTTTGAGTATAAATTTTCCTCACTGTTGATAGGACATGGCTGTATTATTTATACATTGTGAATTATACAATGTTAGAAATTTTCCCTGAGAATTTAGTTGTTCACTGAATTAATGATTTGTCTAAAATGCAGAAGCACTTTACTTAAGCTAACCTGACCTACCTGGAGTTACACACTATTTACAATTTACAACATGAATCTACTTTCTTCTATCTCAATGACCTGTCATCTTTAGTATTTACCACTACCTCAACTATTGTGTCAGTTTGATTTCTCCCCTAATATCTAGGGCCAACTACTGCATTCTGTGGCAAATCCTTTGGAAATATAGCTTCAGTACAGTGATTTTCAGTTACATCAGAAGGACTTAACTGTTTCCATTTAATATATGCAATGTTGTTTCTGCTTTCTGTTAGTTTTTTTTGTTTGTTTGTTTGTTTTTTTAGTTGGAGGTAATGCTTCTTGAGCTAAGAAACTTCCATCTGCAGTTTGTGTATTCTCTAGTGACTGTTATAATGGCAACATTAGACTTCCCTTCTGACTTGTCTCTGTGCTATTTTAACACTCCTTTGTATTCAAGATAGATACTGAAGGATTTGGATCTTAGATGAGCAATTTGAATATCATCCAGTCACAAGTGATTGTCTGAATCTTTGAAGGCATTGATATTCCCAAAAGCACCTATTTAACCTTTGGACAGAGGTTGAGTGAGAAATCAGAGAGATGTGAGGTTAGGCATCTATCTCTGTTAAGGCTAACAGTTTTATTTTGTTTTAGCTCTCCCCTGTCTCCTAAGAATATTATGTGGGAGAACTGTAGTTCACTATAGATTTTGGATATTGTGGCCATAATATTTATATTCCCATACAATATTCTTGGAGTAACCAGGAGTTATTTCTGCTGTAGTATAAGGTATGCTTTTGCAATATTTTTTCTCCTTGATTCCTTCAGTCACATCTCTGAATTTTCAGAATTCTTGCTGCAGCCATACATAACGGAAAAAAACTCACATTTTTTTATTAGTTAGGTATGAAAGTAGAATCAAAGTTTTAAAGTCCCATCAAGTCCTTTCTCCTTCTGCTTATCATTCTGCAGGCAGGCAGGATTCCCATGTTGTTTGAATAAATTGTTCCTTTCTTGAAGTTCAGTGCAATCCCACAGAGTTCAGCTATCTCCAGAGTAATGGTTGTTGCTGTAGCTACTTCTTATGGGAAATCCTCTTCTAAACTAAAACCTCAAAGTAGATAAGTGACTCTTTACTGCACAAGTTGTAGAGATATCTGATAAATAACTAATCAGTGCAGAAGGTTTTTCAACAGCAGTTCTCCAAAAGGATAATGGCATTATTGAATTGGTAATAAACATACCAAAAACCATATTCTCTTCCACTCACAACTCATCAGTCATTACCACAGACAGATCTAGCAGTATCAATAATATCAATAATATTGAAAACCTTTAGCAGCAAACCATGCAGGCTCTGTGTTACTGTTTTAGATATTCTAGCGTAGATTTATATTTTTCTTTGCCAGCATCTGGCTGCTGTACTTTTTTCTTTTTTTCTTTTTTTTTTTTTTTTCCAGTAGAAATAGTTTCTCATGACCTCAAGCCCCAAATTCTATCTTCCATAGAGTTCTCACTGCACAGTATTGCTTTCTTTGTGAGTAAAAAAAAAAAAAAAAAGCATAAAAAGCATTCTTGAGATTTTTATGATTATTACTTGTTTGGTTTTTTTTTTGTTCTTTGTCCTAAAGTCTATATGACTTCCTTCAAATCTAAATCAAGCAAGATCAGTTTGGGACTTGCAGATTTTTGTTAGGTGTTTCTTAGATACTGAAACAGAAACAGATTCTACTGCTGACAGTTTACACTCACTCCTCAAAACAAATATTGGTAACAAGCACAAGGTCTTCTTGGGAACAAGTGCCTGTTTTCAGAATCATTCAGAAATTAAAGACTTCATAGACAGTGATTTAATGAGTATATTAAAATGCTTTCTGCTTAGCTCTTTTAAGCATTGGCTTTACAACAAAAATTACAGATGCAGTTCAAAAATTTCTACGTATACTACTTTTGGTCAGCTATTGATTAGCTGCCCTGTACGAGGAAAGGCTGAGAGATGTTACTCTTCAGTCTGGAGAAGATAAAGCTGAGAAGGGATCTAGTAAATGTTTATGAATATCTAAAGTGTGGGTGTTGAGTCTTTGGAGGCAGAATCATTTTGGTTGCATGCAGCAATAGAACAAGGGACAACGGATAGAAACCTGGAACACAGGAAGTTCTATACTAAAACAAAGAACTTCCTGTCAGACTGATGAACAGGCTGCTTAGAATGCCTACCTGTATGATCTATTGTAGGGAGTCTGCTTTAGCAAAGGGGTTGGACTGGATGATCTCTGAAGGTTTCTTCCAACCCCTACAATTCTGTGATCCTAATTATTGAAGGTTAGCTGTTGAACACCATTTATTGTTTGAACTACTATATGAGAGTGGATAAATTTTGTTCTGCACAGAAGGCTAATAAGAAAATTTTTTGATTTATTTATCAAGGCCTATTACATAAGTGAAGTATGTGTCCATTCCTCTGCAGAATTTCCTTGGAAAAATAATTAATAGCTGATAGACTCTGATAGCTGATAGGCTCTGACCTACAAATGAACATTTTTAAAGGATTCATGTGTGCAAAGATTTCTTTTGTTATTCCTTTTTGGAGATGTATTTATCAAAGTGGCATCTGGAATTTTAGCTTGGTTGTCTTTGAAGAAATACTCTAACTGCTTACTTGAAACTGTTAATATACCTGCCTTTTTAATTATGGCTACAGTAATCCACTACAAAATGAAGACATTAGAACACTCACTGAATATTCGGGGGGGTGAGGTGAGTGTGTGGAAATGGAGATAAAGCTATTGGAGGTAGCTGAGAGGAAGAGGGTGGAAAGAAAAGGAAAATCAGCCAATTTGGCACCCTAAAGGGCCTACATCTGGAACTGGTTGAGAATAAATTGTTTTAAGAAGCCTGTGGTATCACATAGAAGCTTAGAAGCGTGCTCTGAGGCAGTAATGGAAAGCTTTTAACTGGAGGAAAAAGAAAAGAGAGGACACCTCCTTTCAAACCTGTAGTTTTCCAGTAGACTTGAGAGATAAGTGATTGTACCTCAAATGCAAACGATTTTTAAAAACAGAAAACATATGTTGACTGTCATTTTTTGATTGATCAAAAAATCTAGCCTTACTGAAAACCACACACAGAGAATGTATTACCAAGCCTCAATTATATGGTTAGTAAGAACAGCACATCAGATGAATCTCCCCTGAAGACAATATATATATATATATATATATATTTAAATCACATCTTTCTGCATTAAAGTCTGGAATACCAAAGCTAAATCCAAATCTTCAAGTCCTATGCAAAAAAAAAAAAAAAAAAAAAAAAAGTAAAAAAAAAATCCATTACCTCAGGAAGAGCAATTTGTTCTCCCATTAAAACTGCAGTGCTGTCTTGAAAAGGCTAAAAGGCTAATCTAAGAGAAACTGTTATTCTAAACTATTGTAGCTGAGAAGAGGTGTTAAAAATAATTAACTTAAGCAAAGATCAATTACTGTATTTGAATAGTATTTTTTTATTATTATTATAGCTTCTTGCATTTGTTATCATAGTACAAAAACTTGGAACCATTAGGAAGTCAGTAGACTACTGGTTATCATGTGTATGTAAGCTACAGATATGTATACTGAGGACTGCAAGTTTGATATTTCACCCTAAATGAAGTTGCCCACACATAATGAGTTAGAAGAAAGGGTCGATACTCCCTGCTGGATTTCTTTCTGGTTTTGTGACTTTACCTCCAGAAAGTGCAGAAAGTGGGTTTTTGTTTGTTTGTTTTTGTTTGTTTGGTTTTTTTATTTAACCCCCATAATCCAGTGACACAGTCTTTATAACAACATTTTGCTCCTGTTTTCCAGGCTTGTTTTCAGATACAGATACAACTCAAGTTAAATGTACAAATACTGACCATTAAAGAAAAATTCTGATAGTACTTTTATTTTTTTAATGCAGATAAAGCTCAGTAGAACATGTTTTAATAAGAATGAAGTATATGTCTAGGGTAACAAACTGAAGCAGTTTCTTTAGAGAGAGAGTACTTGTCTCTTGAATTTAGAATGTATATTTTGATTTGAGACAGAAACACAATTTAAGATGAATAATTAAAACTGGTAAAATTTTTCCCCTTTGTTTAAAAATAAAATAATATAGTACAAAAATATATAAAAATTATATATAATATAGTAAAAATCTTAATGTTTCAGGATATATATTTTTTTTCCATGGGAAATAAGAATCTGATAGCTACAGGCTCTGGATGCTTAACTGAAGAACTTTGAGGCCCAAAAGAGGCTCTATTGACCCTACCTTGGGGGTACACAAAGGGCAATATACTTTCAGGTGTCACACAAAAAATCTGATGCAATAAGAATGAGAAAATAATACAGTATGCTTTGTATGATTATATAGTACTCGAGTATTCAAAACAAGCATTTCCTGTCCCTGAATTAGCTGTTACTCTTAGATTGACATCTTTAAGTATTTGAAATTATCTATTTATGCCATTAACTCAAGATAACACTACTTGGGGATAGAAAGAGGATACATAGGAAGAATTATATCCAGGTAAGAAGTTGGAGGGCTGTACAAATCATATTTTGACTTCAATTTGGTTGTATGCACGCACATCAAATATCATATTTATGGTAGCATGATTACCCTTTTAACTATCCCTATAATTTTTTTGCAGAGTTCATGCTCTTCCTTTCCTGAGGAAAGGAATGTATATGGGAACTGTTGATCATGGCCTGAACCTCTGATTGACCACCTGAGGCAAGAACTGAGTCAGCCATGGGAACACAGGTGAAGGCGATTCACCTGTGCTACCAGAAGGGGTGGAGCCTGGCTGCACCTCTCCTAGACCCCATTTAAGGGCTGACTGCCACTGAGGAAGGATCTCCTTCTGGAGATTGCTCCTTGTGGGGTTTACTGTGAGCCTATGATACTGGTGGGCACTTCTGTTTATTCTGATTATTTTTCTGCCATGATAATCTTCCTTAACCTAACCTCTGTACATTTATTGATTGTACGCCTACTGATTGTGGGGAATGCTATTCAACAGGTTTATGAACTGTTAAGACTTGACTCAGCCTCTCTTTATTATTTATTGATAGACAGATAAGAAAATCATATTCATCTATATCATAGAAGAAAAAGCCTTATCAATAAATGATATTGTTGCTATGAAAAGCGTACTGAGGAAATGTATTTTCTGCTAGCTATACATTAAAATGTTGCAAGGGTATGGGGAATTGAAACTGTCTTTATAATGGATCATAAATCTTAAAAGTGATTTGAATTCATGGATTAAATGTCAGCTTTGAAAGCTTTTGGTGATTTATATTAGTTCTTAGAAGAAAGTACATTTCCACTGCAGATCAAATTATTGCATTTTCATATTCTGTTTTAGTTATTTCCAGAAAAAACATTCTTCAAAAGTATAACCGGGGGATGCTTTTTCTCTGTTTGTGAGCTCTTGACAGCCAGTGTTGCATATGTAATTAATAAAATTGCGAAGATTAGTGGCAGAAAAGAGCTAGGGAGAGCACTCTGTGAATGATGTGCACCATATGCTGAAAGGAAGATAACGCTAGCTGAGTGAACCTATGGTTTTTTAGGTGCTGGTAAACAGAATTCAGAGCCCATCATGATTTAGTTAAAGAAAACGATAAGAGTCAGGTAGTAGGAATTCAAGGATTGTGGCAAAATTTTACAGCATTTGCAACAACAGTGATTTATCAGGAATATTTGTTAATTTGACGTGTATACTTAGAAATAGGGTAGAGAGAAGGCAGCTCCTCAGGCAAAGTGAGAAGTATCAACAGATAAATCACTAGTAAAAGCAATATAAGGGTCTTTTGGCTTTTATACAGACTTCAATCAGATTAGAATACACTTATTTAATATCAATCTCAAACATTTAATTGTAATTCCAGAGTTAAAAGTTGATATGCATTAAGTACCTCTATGATTGAAAGATTTTGATTGATAGACATGTTTGAAGGCTATTCAAACTATTTAGTATCTGGATTGTCCCTTTGGTATTAGCTTATTATCTCATCTCTGATGGCTTCAATCTGAGACTAAAAGATTGAGGCACTTTGAATGTGACAGGGTGAACCAATGTGTAATCAGTTAAATTCATTTTCTGCAGATGAAGAGAAGCAGAGATGAAATTAGTTATGATGCTAAATTTTACAGGGACAATGAACAGTGCCTATTTATTGTAGTTTACACTTAGTTTTATTGTACTTGTTGCTGTAGTAGCTAAGGAATTTTCTTTCAACAGATCTCTTGTACTGTAGTTATGGAAAAGAAGAAAAGGTAGGATAAAAAACCGTAGATTCCATAAATAAGTAAAGGAAGATTATCTATTAAATAAGAGTCAGCAAATCTACCCTAGAACATGAGTTTATAGGTGAAGATGCAGTCTCCCTCTTCCAAGAATCCAGTGTTTCAAGTTGCTTTCCACTATATTAACTGCTTCTGCTTTCCTTTTACATGAATAGCAGAATCTCTATTCTGACCTAGAAGAGCATTTTGTTTCCACAGTAGAGCCTGAAGTCTGGATTACAACAAAAATGTCAGCGTTACCTGAAGGCTACAGTTTAGACTGTGACCTGAGTTAATTACTATTTTCTGGTCATTTTCCAGAGGACTGGGAACTACATCACAGCTCTTACTCTTCTAGTGGTCTCTAGAGGAAGTCTAACAACTGCTAGAATTCCTGAGGGTGACAGTACTGGTGGTCTTTTACTTGAGGGTGCCATTTCTTTCCTATAGGATATAAACATTCCAAGAGGTGCTTCTAGAGTAGCAACCCAAGTAAGTTAATGCTGACAACTACATGTAGAGAAAAGAAAAATAGTGAAGTTCAAAGGCAAGTGAAAATACATATAAATTAGCCAGAATAGCTGAATCTATACAGTTTTTCTTTTTTTTGTGGAGCCTAGCCTTCATTTGGTTGCCACTGAATAGAACAGTCTTATTAAGCATCATGGAGACGTACACAGGCTAAAAGTATGTGGACTAAATAATCAACTTTGTTTTGTTGCCTTTATAGCGCTCAAAAACATACTCTGAGAAAGCCCAGAATGCAATGAGCGGTACCTCATCTGAGGAAGCTGGAAAGCGTAAAGACATGGAAGAACATCATGGAAATTAAAAGCTCTTTCATTCTATTATAAAGATCACTGTAGGATACTAAGGTGCAAAGCATTATTTGGAAGTTGAAGTCATGGGCTACAGTTGTGATACAGACTATAAAAACTCTGACTGTCTAGCAGATGGCTTTCTTAGGCACACAGGTGAACAGAAAAATCCCCAAGTTCATGAGCAGTAAATGAAAAAGATTCCCTATATGGTCAAAGTAGATTTATTTTGTCTATTCAGCATTTATTCAGAGTCTGAGCACTGACATGTGGTGCCTTGTTAATTGGCAGTTATTGTACCACACACAGAGCTGCTAGAGAAAATAAATAACAGAAACTGAATTAATCCACTGTGACAATGTATTCCAGAGGTACGTAGAAGCAGCAGTGGAACATCTAAAATAATATTTTAATAATATAACTTCATACTTACATGGCTGCATTAAAAGACAGTTATTTTCCCCTTGAAAAAGAAATGAAATTTGGAAACTGGATTCAAGTTATTCTTAAGGCAAACTTAACCTGGATATTGATATTCTCAAATGTTGCTGGAACAGCCTACATGAGGAAAAATATATTAAAGATTATTGAGCTATGCTGTAGTCAGAAGGCAGGGTGGAAGAGTGGGAAGGAAATAACTTGATTCTGATTGAAAGAATTCTGATTCTGATTGAAGACAGGAGTTTTGGTGAATAGCTTTTTTAAAACCCCATGATAGCCCAAAAAAAAACAAAAACCAAAACAAAACACTTCATGTATAAAAGAGATCATTTAAGTGAGATGAGTGTTAGTTACAGCTATTTTAGGCTGAACTAATGCATTCCTGAGTTTTTAAAGCAAAACAGGACTGCTGTTGACATGTCACTTTTTAAAGGCACAGGAATGTGAAAGAGCTTTAACATCTGCCTCAGTGTGAAAGGCTTAGGATTATGCTGTTTGTGAGTACTTGTTTGCTTTCTTCATTGTGTGAGAGCCAAATGTTTTCTTTTTACTTGAGTATTACTCTGAGTGATATGACTGCAGGAGGTACAGGAATGTGTAGTTATTTGTGAGTGATGTACAACTGACCTTACCTCAGGAAGAACATGTTTTTCCCTGCCAGTACTCACATACTGGAGACTCATGAACATGGCATGTGCCTCTCATGTAAATCTATGAGGTCACTTGATTTGATCCAAACTGACCATTCAGTAGTTCATGTGGGGTATTGGTGGTTCTCTAAGATAAGTTCTGAGGAGAAAAATAGATTTGTAGGTGGATAATCTACTCCATTATCTTTCATATCAGTTTGATTATATAACTTTTTATTCAAAGAATCATTAAGGTTGGAGAAAGCCTCTAAGATCATCTAGTCCAGCCATCAAACCATCACAATCATGTCTACTAAATCACGTCCCTCAGTGCCTCTTATACCTTTTTCTTGAAAACCTCCCAGATCAGTGACTCTACCACTTCATTAGGCAACCTGTTCCAATGCATTACTTCTCTTTCAGAGAATAATTTTTTCCTAATATCCAAACTGAACCTCCCCTGGTGCAACTTAAGGCCATTACCTCTTTGCATATCATAATTACCTGAATGAAGAGGTTGTTTACACCTCACTACAACCTCTTCTCAGGCAGTTGTAGAGATCGATGAAGTCTCCTTTGAGCATCCCTTTCTCCAGACTAAACAATCCAACTTCCCTCAACCACTTTCCATAAGACTTGTTTGTGAAAGTCTGAATAGACTGCATCTGTAGTATTTCACTGAGCAGATTACCTGCTAATAGGAAATCAGTTTGGTCAAGCAGGACCCAGCTTTTATGAGTCAGTGCTGGCTAGGCCTGAACCCTGAAGTGCTCTGCACATGTTGTATGATTGCTCTCAAGATGATCTGCTCTATGACCTTCCCCAAAGCAAGGTCAGGTTGATATGTCTGTACCTCTCTGGATCTTCCATTCTTATAGATGGGCATCACACTGGCAAGTTCTTTGTCATCTGGGACCTCACTGGTTGACCAGAACTGGCTGATAAATGATGAAAAGCAGCTTGGCAATCAATTCCACCAGCTCCCTTCAAGCTCTCAGTGGATTCTATCTGGTCCCATGAACTTGACTCAGTCTGAGTAGAGCAGCAGGTTGCTAACTGTTTCCATCTGAATCATGGAGGTTTAATTTTGTTCCACATTCCTGTCTTCTATCTTAGGAAACTGAGTACTTTGAGGGTAACTGGTCTATTAAATACAGAAATAAAGAAGGCATTGAGAACCTCAACCTTTTCATTGTGCTCAGTGATAACGTTCCCTGCCACATCTAATTAAGGTGAGAGTTTCTTCTTGGTCCCCCTTTTACCATATTATATATGTAAAACCTTTTACCATGCTATATAACTCTTTTTTTTTTTTTTTCCCTCTTCTGAAGTCTCAGCAAAATCTTCCTGTTCAGTCATCTCCCTACAGTCTCCCCTCACAAAACAAAGGACAGCCTTTTCCTGTGCTTTTAAGATTTTCTTCTTAAGGAATTTCCATCCTTTCTGGACTCTTCCAGCACTGAATTCCAATGGATTTTTCCCAGTTGATATCCTAAACAGTTTAAGGACAGGTAGAAGTTTTGCTGACCCCCACCTATGGTGCAAACAAAGACAATGACAGTCTTTTTCCTGAAGTACATGTATTATAGAACAGGACGATAAAAGGAGAATTAATTCACCCCTTCTGACAACAGCTCAGAAGAAGGGCAAACTCAAAGAGATGCAGCTCAGCTTCTAACGCTTAAATGGGAGAAAGGAGGGGATGGATCCTGACTCTACTCCTCCTG